ACACTGACCTTTTTGTCAGGCTGAGTGTCAAAGTTAGTATCAGTATTGACATGACTGTCAATACTTAGTATCAATATTTCAATTCTCTCATCCTAGTTCTAAAAACTTTTACACCACTGTTTCATAATGTGCTTTTCAGTAATTTTGTGGAGACACATGTTTTGTGTGTTAAAAGGCTTATAATTCTAAGAATGGTATTTGCTCTCTTTTTCTGCCTCAAAATTGCAACTTCCACAGAATTGACTGTAAATGAGCTTTTGAAACTGTCTGTTGAGCAGAATGCAACAAACTGAACTTGTACTTGAGAGCTGTAGTGCTTATTATTGCCTCATGGGGACCTGAAGGCTGTTAACTGGTGTGCATTACCAGTAATTACTAAAAGAAGGTCTGCTACTGCTTGACTCCTCACTGATAAACTTGTACTACTTTCACTCACTAGCACAGCTCACATTCACTCAAACTTCTTGAGTCAGAAAATCTAAATTTACTACATTTCTTTTTTTGATAGAGATCAGTTTGCACAGCCAGAGAAACCTGCTAGTCCCAAGTTCATTGTGACACTGGATGGTGTGCCCAGTCCACCAGGATACCTTTCTGATCAGGAGGAGGAAGATATGTGTATAATGGAAGGATTAAAGCCAGTTACCCATCACATGTGTGCTGGCAAAGGATTAAAAGGTCTTCGAGCACAGCAGATGCAAATTGTAACAAGGCAGCTGGAGAACTGTGATGGTAATTATACTGACCAAGAGGATCTAACCTTGGTGTGGTGCTTTGATCATGGTTACACCTCCTGGATGTATCATTCTTAAGAAACCAAAGTCTTCAAATTAGAACATTCTTTAGGCAAATGAAATGTGGGAGTTCAGTGGGACCGTCTTCTCAGAAGCTTTTGTCATGGTGTACTAGACCAGTATGGCATGTGGTAGTTCTCCATACATCTCAATATTGGTAAAATTGGCTGGTTGGTTTTTGGGGGTTTTTTTGCAAATGCAGTTGATCTTCATTGCCAGAAATCTGCCCTTCTGGTTGATCTGTTATGATTTGTCCCTGTGCTGATGGATAGGAGATGTTACAGTTAACATAGTAACATGCCTTGAACTTACAAAAATACCTCAGACAGTATTAATGTTTCTTTTGAGGGCTGTGACACCTAAAGGAGCCTGTTAAATGTAAGGTGTTGGTAGAGTCCAGTGGGTAGCACCTGAAAGCAGAACTTAACAGTGCATGATTTTACAATAAGTATATTGTCTTTCTTTATTTCTTTTGAATAACACGGGAAATTGCTTTCTGAACCAGGTTTGAATTGTTCAGAATGCTGACATAGTGATAAAAAACACAGAGGCTACTGTTTTGTCATAGACCTGTTGAATACTTGCCTGAGGGCTGTGCTTGGATCCATGTTTTTTACTTAGCTTGCTTAAGAAAATAAAGATCTTTATTTTCTGTTGTTGCAGTGTATCCAAATTTCTGAACTAAATAAACTATTTGATGCTGTACTGAGAACCCTTAAATTTCATGGCTCCAGCTGTAAACGTGTAATGTAATTATGGGAGCACCATAGAAAAAGATCTTTTAAGTCCACATCCTTTCAGTCCCCTTGCTGCAGAAGTACTGCATTTATCAGGCAGCCTTAAAGATTAAGGGAATGTTGTGTATTCATACACTTTACCAGCGGAGAGAAACTGTCATTGGAGTACTTCCTTGTGAATCCGTGCTTTCCTGTGTGTAGCCTCATACTCCTCACCAAAGCTGTTTGGTAGAGGAGAGTGTTGTCAGTACAGTCCTAGCTCTGTTAATGATTCCTGTGAAGTAGCAGGGATCAGACTGAAGGTGATACACAATCAGATCCATGTGGAAGTGATCTGTAAGAGCCAGTGTGGTCCTACAACAGGATTTGTTGTAGAAAGCATTATTTGGCTTTGGTATGTTGCAAGGAGAAGGCATAAATGAGGCTAAGGAAGGAGTAAAGCTGGAGCAATTTGTGTCATTAGTAGGATCAGAGAGGGAAGTGTAGGCAGTGCTGGAAAGCTTTGAAAAGCCAAAGGTTTAGGCAGATTTGGGAAAATAAGACAACAGCAACATTTGTCTCAACGATTGTCTGAATTTTGAAAATAAGGTGTTCCAAGCAATGTTAAATAGGGGAAAGTCAAAGTCCCATGTTCCTGTAAGAGTAGTGAAAGTATGGAATGTTTCAGCTTAGAATTTCTTAAAATACTTTTTGGATTAGAGTCTGGGTTCAGGTAACTGAAATGTCTGAAGAAATTCCATAAAAGTGGTTCTTTTTCAGTATATGGCCCCATAATAATAAATCTGATTAGTGTAAAAATTGATATTTTTACTTTCATCTCTTGAAAAAGGAAACATGGCTATAATTAACTCATGGCTCAGCAGAATAGTCATAACTCAGGTTCAGTCAGAGTCAGTGTCTTGTCCAAGTCTTTAAATCAATTCGGATTTGCAAAGAAAACTGATTTATTTTGCTTGTAAACAGTGCAGATTTGATCCTCTGTCACCAAAAGGCAGCTGTCATTCCAGTATTACAACTTTTCATTTTATGGTTCTGAAAATTTTCTTCAGAAAATATGATCGTACATAAACTTTTACTATCATGACTTTTTTGATTAAGAAAGAAGTACAGTGAATTTTGATTATGCTAGATGGCTTACAACAAATTGCATATAGAATCTTAAAGGTCCAACTTGAGGTTGTTTTTTTTTCTTCTTTCTTACCATCCAGTGGAAATGGAAGACTTAAATATGCTGCAAAAGCAGGAGAAGGTGCTGGAGCGCTGCAAGTACTGGCCTGCCTGTAAGAATGGAGATGAATGTGTGTACCATCACCCCACACAGCCTTGCAAGTGAGTGGTACAGAGCTCATCCACTTGAAATGCTATTTTGATTTTTATTCCAATACTGCAAACTTCTGCTCTGTGTCAGTAATATTCCAAGGCAGCACAAACCTGTCAGGGCAGGATCAGAGCTAGATTATCACACTGTAATTCCTTCTGTTTTCCACCCCTCTTCCAAGTGTCAGAACACAGGGGTGGCAGCTGCAGCCTTGCAGAAGAAAGCTTTAGTTTTAAGTACAGGCTGGTGTTCCTGAGTTGCTTAAAGATGCAGGAGTTAGTGTCTTAAAAGAGTAGGCCCTTGTCTGGCAGCTGTCACAATGCTTTTGAGGGTTGGGTTGTTGTTACACAGTAATACAGAGATCCTGGGTTTTAAGTTTGAAAGGGAAGGTGAACTCTTGAATGTGCCCTGTGCCTTTGACTTCTCTTCCATAAGCAGGAACAGTCCAGAAAAACAGTGTCTGTATTGAGGTAACTCTTACCAGATTGGGTAACTTCAGTTACTCGGACATTTTAATTACCTTATAAAATCTGGTGTAACTAAATTCAAAATAAAACTCTTTGGAGAAATCTGTGTTACTTAGGGAACACTGCAGCCCTCTCTGGGGAAGGTCTGATTTCACATTGCCTGTGACACACATTAAGAGTGACATGTCCTGGGTTGCATCAAGCAATTTGGTGCCTGAGAGTGAGGGGGTTCAGTTTTTCACTTGCATGGAGGGAGGTTCTGCAGGAAAGGAAGCTGAGTGCAGGTGTGTGGGTGCACAGCTCATGCTCTACACTACATGCCCCACTTGGGAAGGAACCAAGATGTGCCCCAGCCCTGCTGCACCTCTGGCTTTCTGTGATATTCTGGCTACTGTGTGCAACAGATGTTTGGGGATTTTGCTCCAAGTAGGAGCTTTTGACTCAATTTTTTTTTCCCCTCAGAGTTTTTCCTAACTGCAAATTTGCTGACAAATGCCTGTTCATCCATCCAAACTGTAAATATGATGCAAAGTGCACTAAGCCAGACTGTCCTTACACTCACGCCAGTCGACGAAACCCCCATCCAGCTCCTAAACCAGGTGAGCACATCTTGTTTTCTGAGATTTAAATGGAATTTGCTGGAGGGTCCAAAACCAGTATTTTTGGAAACAGAAACTGACAGTGATGAAAAAAAAATTTTACTTGAGTTGACCACATTTTGTTACAACTCTTAGTGTAAGATGAAGAATAATAATCCAGTGTTACTGCAAAAACTGTTACCAGAAAAATCCCCCAATGCTGTTATGCAAGAGTCCATACAGAAGCTGTGCAAGGCCACAGTGGTGACTTGTACAAGTTGTCCAGTTCTCTGAAGGAATTAGCCAGCACTGCAGTTTTGCTCAGATTTTTTTCTTAAATTGGACACATATTGTACCAAGGGCTTGTGACACATGCTGAAAACAGAGGCTTCTCCCTTTGAACATTTTTTTCTTTAATGCCAGTGTAGGAGTGATGGTGTAATGATGAGGTGACTTTTGGGGTGAGTTTACTTGCTGAAGGCAGTAGCTGTGTTTGATATGGGTTGGTGTTGCTGAGCCTTTGAACCATGCCAAGGTGCAGGGCCTTTACTGCATAATCTTTTGGAAGTTTAATTTAGCCCCTAGTCACAGTTCAGTGGAGTTTTGTGACCTTGCCAGAAACCAAGTACAATGTGTTTGTCTGCAATATCATTTCCAGCAGCTCCTCTGTATTCCTGGAAGGTGCAGTGCCTGCACTTCTCAGTCCAGTCAGTTGAAACTCTAACAGGTTTGCTGCTGCAAATTTAACATTTGAGATTCTCTGCCTACCAGAATCTCTGTGTAATTTGTTGGAAATTTTGCCTTGACCATGGTACTTCCTGTCCTGAAATGGTGAAGAACCAAGTTAAATGATTACCCGATAGCCTTGTTCTAGTCCAGGATCCACTAACTGCATTGGAAAATGCTGTCTCTATTTCATGCTGAACTTTGGTGTATTATAAAATGGAATTTTTAGCAGAAGGATTGATATATTTAAGGTTGTGTGGCGCTGTCTTAAAAAGGCAATTTGATCTGATCCAGACTCACTTCCTGTTGTTTTTGTTTCTGCTATTAGCACCCCTGCCCACCCTGTCCATCTCCTCCAGTAGTCCGCTGTGTAAGTTTTTTCCAGCTTGTAAGAAAATGGAGTGTCCATTCTATCACCCAAAAGTAAGATATATTTCCTATCTTCCTTCCTTTCTAGAAAGAGACTTGAAACATGCTACTTTGGGACAGGCTATGTTACTAGGATTTAACACTTTCTGCTTTTACTTTTCACATTTTAACTTTGCCTTATAAGCAGAATACACAAAAGTAGTGACTTAAGGAATTTGGAAAATTACACTTATTAGTAATCTTTCTACCAACTGCTGCTGGGGAACTTCGAACAGGTCATATCTCTTTTCAAAATATACTCACCCAGGATGCTGGGGGCAGAGAGGAGCCTTTTGGGAAGGAGTTTGTCTTAAGACTCTTAACTCTTCCTTCAGATATGCTGCAACATACAAAAACTTCAAAGACTGCCCAGTTACCCTAAAATGTATTAATGTAATCTATATATCTGTATCTATACTACAGGAGTCTATTGCTTGGGTACTTCTATGGATTTGTGTCCCTGCATCTAATGGCAGGAAGTTTAGTGCTTTTACAAGCCCTAATAATGCTGAAATACCCATGCTCAGATATTATTAGCCAGATACTCTGGCTTTTCTCACCCCTCAGGTAATGCTGTGTTATGCTCCCAACTTGTACACAAAGATCAATTCAAACTGAACTCTGTAAACTCTTGCAAGCAAAGGAATTTCCACCAGTCATTGCAGTGGCAGCCTGGGAGCTTGAAATTCCTAGTTGGTACTTTTTAAAAAGGAGTTTTTGTCACTGGGTTGAGCTGGTTGCACTGGTGGAGGGGGGTGTTGGCTCAGTTGCAGGTGAGATATGTCAAACAGCAATTCAAGGGTCACAATGCAGCTCAGCATGTTCAGGAGTTCAGACAGCCTCTTCTGAAATACTTTTGGTTTTAGCATTGTAGGTTTAATACACAGTGTACAAGACCAGACTGCACTTTCTACCATCCCACTGTTGCTGTACCTCCGCGCCACGCCTTGAAATGGACTCGAACTCAAACCAGGTGAGAAACATTCTAAACCTAACCAAGAAAAAAAGTATGTTGGGACATTACTAACGTAGTTTTACTCACAGAAGTAATGTGTGTGTGAGGAACAACAAAGATGTATGGAGCTATCCCTTATAGGCAGCTTTCTTTTCAAGACAGCTGTGCTGCTGTTTGGTAGTAGTTGTATAAACATTAACTAATGTGATGCAACCAAGTGGCCTGCAGCTGGGATAGGGCAGTCACTGGAATCCTGACCTGGACAGGTGGTGTTCTCTGAGTTGTATTTGAATAAAGCTGAAAATCCTTTTACTGTTGTTTTCTCTTGTGTCTAAGCTGTGTTTTCCACAATAGATTCAGCTGTTTCTTTGAGTGCTTCTGGTAGAGCAGCTCCTTCCTGTCATCCACCTGTGCTTTCATAAACCGGTAGCAAAAGTCCCAAAGCTGTAGCTATGGCCCTGCCTTAATGTTCATGTGATCTGATGATCTTTTCACTCCAACTAATCCCCTGTGCAAAGGTTTCAACCATTACAGGGGTAGGGCAAAAAGCAGTTCTCAAATCATTTTTACAGAGGGGTAGAATTGTTCCTTATGGAATTGTTTTTTTCTTCCTTCTCAGTGAATGAATATGGTACAAGCTGGGACTGAGCTTTGCCTCCTCTGGACGGTAGCGGACAGGAGGATTAATGACCAGGACACAGGATACTAGGGAAGATTCATACATTTTGGACTTTGAATATGCATTGTTTTCATAAAACGAGGTTGATTGCATACTTGAAATGTCTCTAATTTTCCAAGTTTGTAAGTTTGGGCAATTTTACATTTTTTTTACACTGTAAGAAGAAAACATCTGTGTAATGAAAGTTTTACTTTAAATTCCATTAAAAACCTTCAAAGCACATTTTGTCTTCTGTGTGGGTAATGTTCCTTGTTTAAGAGTTGGTGTGTTGAAGAAGAAAGTATGGCAGCAGAAGTGCTTAGAAAGCTTATTCCTGTGTTGGGATCAGACTGGAAGTACTTTTTGTCCAGCAAGTATTTGGTACAATGCCCAGGCTGCACTGCTGTCCCAGCACCCAGGGACGCAGCTGTCCACCCCAGCAAAGGCACAGAGCAAATGCTTTGTCTTTTGGGTGTTTTTTCAATGCAATGGTTGTCAGTCCTTCTGCTCTCTAAAATGAGGAAGAAAAGACAAGGGAAACAAACTGCTTCAGAAGCCAGAACAATTATAGAATTACTAATACTGTTCTCCCCTGCTTCAGAAGCCAGAACAATTATAGAATTACTAATACTGTTCTCCCCTTAAAAAGCCTATGAGCTGCCACTTCACGTGGAAATAGGTACTCTGAGGTATCTCCATTTATACCAAGAAGAAAGAAAATTCAGTGGTACTTTCTTCTAAGGAATTCTTTCCTACTGGACCCACTGTGGTCTTCTCTAGACGGTTCCTGTGGCTTACATGGCAAAAAAATAATGCACACACGTGCCCATAAGGATGGTTAAGTGGTATTAAAATGATGATGCCCATAAGGATGGTTAAGTGGTATTAAAATGATGAAAAGTGTTGAACAGTAACATAAATACACTTTTTTATTAAATCTTTTTTATATTTTGGGGAACTACATTTTCACAAAAATATACAAAAGAATTTCTTTTTACAAATATTTACATTCAATATCAGAAAACAATGATAGCTACATATTTTGAACTTAAATTTGACAAATATAGTTTTGAATTCCGAAACTTAACACTCCAGGAAAAGTATTTTAATTTTTTTTTTTAAATAAAGTACTCAAAGTTCATATTCAAATTTAAAAAAATCTTAATTAATGCAAAAATCTGACATTTAATTTATATATATTTATATATATATATATATACTTTAAATAAACATACATAAACATTGTTACAGGAATTAGGTGTTCATGATGGAAACCAAAATGGAGTACACTTAAACCGATGATCCTTAATACAGTAATACATGACCATACCTTTGGACTAGTTTAAAATACCTTTTTTTTTCTTTTTTTTTTTTTCTTGTTAAAGCAAGAGGGATTATCTGACACACTCCATAATGAAACAACAAATCTGAACAGACAACTGCATTTTAAGCTTAAAGAACTACAGTAAAATATTTTTGGAAGGTGACCTGACAGGGACTGGAGAGGAGAGGATGTGCTCTGGTGTGGTACAGAGCACTGCTGGAATGGGTTTCCAGATGAAAGACTGCAAAGAACATTATTTTTCTACAGAATTTCCCAATACCTTCATTAGCTGTCCCTTGCAGAAATAGCTGCCACCATGAAGCTGTTTTCCATGTGAGATGAGGAGACAAGAATTTGTAAGGGCAGCAGAAGACCAGGACCATCTTCACTGCTGCATTTCCACTGCTGTGCTGGGCTGTAACCAACTGCACAGTGTTCAGTGTGAGAAAAGCTTTTCCTCTGCTATAAACAGTGAACAAACCAAGCTGCAAAGCTAGAAGTGCATTTTTTAAAAAAAGGAAATGGTTCTAATGCATTTACTTTGTTACATTTTCAAGTTATGATTTTAGGCTTGAGTGTATTCTAATATGGAATTTTACATTAAAAATACCTTAACTTGCTCCATAAATCAGTAATGCAGCTTTTCCATTACTTTATGCTGTATACCCATAGCTGAACTAAGAAGTAGAAATGAAGCTAATTACCAGATACTGCTCAAAAAAAAAATCAAGCTATTTTTCACCTGAAACCACAACACCAGGGTACATAGTAGCAAGAAAAGGAAAAAGAGACCAGAAGTGTATAAAGTACTACCCAACAGCACCAACATTTCACAGGAAAAGTACAGGAAACCATTTTTATTTCATGCAATGTTTGTCTGTGTTCATGCCTGGAGTTCCTTTAGAAAGGATATTTACTGGATTCCAAAAGAATACAGTGTAGCACATGTCCTGGGTGCCACTGGTGGTTAAAAAAACCGTGGTGTTATGGCAGTACCACTTCCAGCTCCATTGCATGGAAAGATCCTCCCCTTTCTCCCCCATCTCAAGAATTTGCAACTAAGTTAATAGAAAAATTATTTTCAGCAACAGAATGCTTGGGATTGGCTTTGCATTACATATGACCACAGTAACAGCAAAGCTGTGGTTAAAGTTTGCCCTCTCAAGCAGTACATTGGAAAAATAAACTTAATTGGTGGCTGGGAGGGGAGAGCTGGGATAGGGGTTTCTGTGGGAAGGAGGAAGAGTAGTAACAGCCAAAGCTAAAGAAGGAATAATGGAGGGTATTACACGAACATGTCTTTGTTTTCCCTAAGGGCTTACAGTCCTGCAGAGGACTGAAACTAAAATACCCCTCCACTACAGCCCTTTTTCAGAACCCACCAAAGCGTTGCAATTGTTTGCTCTTTTGTCCCTATGCCCTTGTCTTCTGCCTCAGCCCCACTGAGAGCAGCTGAAGGCAGCACCACCTTTATGAGCTCTGCAGCACCACACACAATGGGACAGTGGCAATTATCCCTTCATCTTAGAAAACTGGTAAAGCACAGCTGGCCTTAATCCTCTGGTTAAAACACCCACTTTGTGAGAGCCACTTAGTAGTTAAATAGCTAGAGCTTGCTTTCCTTTGCAAACAGTGCAGTCACACAGATCTTCACATCACTGGAACAAACATGACAATACTTCAGGGGATATCATTAAAAAACAAAAAACATTTGGTGTTGGTTTCGGTTTCTTTCTGTTTTCCAATATGCTCTCACATGATATCTGTGCCCAAACTAAGTGACATATGTGGTGCTAAGGGCAAACTCACTTTGTAGGCTCTTGAAGGTATCCCACAAACAGCAACAGAAACTAAGGAAACACCTATTTTGGCTTATGGAAGAGAAATCCAAATGTCCCAAGCAATAAGAACATCCTGTCTCTCATGTCCCAAACTCAACTGCCCTCTAGCAGGTAGAGAAGGATCAGTCCAGCTATTCATGCACAAATTTTGTGTTTCTTACAAAGAGTTGCTACAAGTAAAAGTCCAGTTGTCTAACTAGCACCCATAATGAGTTTGGTTTGTTTTCTACATAAAGTTTACCATAATTATTTCCTTGTTAGTAATGGTTTACTATGGGACAAAATCAAGAACTTGGTACTGATTTATTTCTGCTCAGATGTATTTGTTTGGTCTAATTACATTCACCTGACTTCCTATGTATTTGAATGCCCATGGCATGGAACTGCTGAAAGAAAATTTGGCTCAAGTAGGATCTGAACCACCTTCTGCAGGTCACTCTTGCTATCACACCTCAAGTTAAATGTAATAGAGCCTGCAGCTTTCATGTCTGTCATCTTAAATGTTGTGAATGCCTGGGAAGAGAATCAAGAACTGCTGAATAGGAAAGAAGCAAGACACAGTAATTGCAACAGCTTGGTTAAGAAAAGTTTTCTGAAGTATAATATTTCTTTGGTTTATTATTTTCTGTTTGAAGAACATTTTCAGAAGAGGCCTATTAAAACAATACACATTTGGTTTAGTTGGAAAGATAAGTAGCCTTTTAAAACACATCCTTAAACACTTGCCTGAGCTCTCAGTACAGCAGAGCACTTCTGTCTCTACAGCACTTTCTCTGTTCCACTGCATCCACTGCAGCTGTGGTTAGCCTGCTGCTTGCTGCTGCACCTCAGCTCTAAACAAATGCCCTACAGCTATGGAAATGGAGACAGCAGTGAGTGGGAGTGGCTGCATCTTCCCAAAAGCAGGGCAACCAAAGTTGCCTGCAGCCTTTCCTCGAGCACTGTGCTGCTCTGCAGTCCTTACACTTCCCAAGCAGCCACTGAATGTTTCCCACTTGAAACAAGATGTTTGCCACTCACCACCACTCATGTCAGTTCTTTCATCTTTCCTTTGCTTATTTTTGAGTGTTCCTTTCTCTCCTTTCTTCTGCCTTTTCTCCATGTTTGTTTACTGGTTTCCTGTTACTGCTTCCTCTGCCCTATGCTCCTTAATTCCAAAAGGAAGAGGCAATTATGGAAATTAGAAGAATTGCCTGCTGTCATCATGCTAAGACCTTACACCTTTTGTTGTTTTGTTTTAAACAGATGGATGGAGAGGGAACACATGTTCCATGCTTTTTTTTCCCTCTTCCTTTCCAAAGAAGTAGTGAATGGGTTGGATTGCTGATCTCACAGTTAAAAAAAAAGCAGATCAAGGTATCAAGGTTTTGATTGGTTTGCTGATAGTAAATTGAGAAAAGGATGGTGTTTACCTGTTCTAGCATCAAAGACTGAGAAACCACCTAGTACTTCTCAGATGTAAATTATTTTGGCAAGGAAATCTATTGTGACTTTTATGCATATTAGACACCTAAAACTATTCTATTTTTATTTCTAAAAGGAGGTACGCAGAGTTCAAGCCTGAAGTCAAAGTTAAGGGAAGAGCAAAAGCCAGGGCCAACAACATAAATGGGCTTGGTATCACCCAACAATGAGTGGTATAAAGAATGACAGCAGGCTTTGGCAAGCACATGGATCTGTCCACATGAGCAGAAATCAAATGCTGCTAACAATTTTAGAAAAACAGAGCAGATTGCAAGGAAGCAAAAAAAACCAAAAACAATTAGAACAAAACAGCACACAAATGCAATGCAACTAGGGGTGTTTACATCACTGATGTGGCAATTCATTTTGTGATTTGCAGTATTACTTCCTTCTGCAGAGTCTATAGGATGCTCCACTTTGTCCAAGACATTGACAAGAAGACATCTGTCTATAGCTTATTTTAAAATAATTTTTTAAAAACACACTTTCAGGATTAAGGCTGGTCACATCTCTGACACTGATAATGAAACAGGGAACATGTCACCTTGCCTAATTAAATGCTGTATTTGAAGCCAAGATCCTTTGCTTGTGACACTCTTACACTCGCTCAGC